CACAGAGTTTCAAGAGCATCTAGATCAGTTAAAAGCCATTGGAGATCCAATTTTCTTCAGGTCTGTTATATTTAGAACAACTGTATCAATTTTACTCTGTACACTTTTACATTTGGTAGTTTTTCTGAATTTGTGAACATGTGTTTCAGGTTAAAAGAGCTTACAGCTCGACCAGCAGCAGTTGAACATGCTCATAAATATATTGACGAGTTGAAACAGGTACCAATCTCATGTAAAGTGCCTTAGCGCTTTTTATTTTCATCATGCTTTTTTTTTAAGCTGAATTTTTTTGCGTAGAGTTGAATTATGTCAATTGATCCTCATAGCTAATCAATGGTGGGTGGTGGTTGGATGAAGAATTAGGGAATTTGAGATAACTGGAGAATTGCTCTAGTTTATATGTTTTTTCAATTTTAATTCTTTGTTTAGATAAATCAATTCATTTTTTTAAACTTCAAATTCTTAGTTTGGATAGGGTCACCATATGCCAATTTCAATTTTTAGAAGAGGGGAGAAAGAGGAGAGAGAAGCAAGAGAAGAGAGAGAGGAGAGAAGTGAGGAAAAGAAATGAAAAAGGGATAGAAGAGGATTGGGAAGAGGGAGAAGAGACAAAAGGGGAAAAAAGAGAGAGGAGAATAAGAAAGAACAGATAAAGGGAAAGTGAGCATATGGATTCAAATTCTTGTTAAATTGGATATTCTAAAAATTCATATAATGAAAATACTTTTTACATACAAAGAATTTTAGAGTCACCCTTAAATTGAATTACTATATCAAATTTCCCTATCTAAACACATTGATAGTGATATAAGGCTTCGTGGACATTGTTGCTTTTGCTAATCCCTTTGATGCATGGGTAAAGTTCTTTGTTTTAAACTTATTCGGATCAATAGAAGCTGTATTATGATAAATAAGAAGATTGTCTGTATTATTCTATTACGTTAGTTCATCATATATAGCATTTGAAAGAATGTAGAGATTGGTTACTGCCCTTGTTGAGATGTAAGATACTGAAAAAAGGGGACAAGGTTCAAATTTATCTCATACGATGCAGCAATTTTCATTCAATTGGGTTATCTGTTGTTTATCCAGTTTTCATCATATTAGCACTTATGAACTCATTCCTTGAAAATCATTTGGAAACATTCAATACCACTTTAGGAAATCATATGATCAAAATTCAATGCATTGAAAAGGCGTTAGTTAGGTGAGCCAAAATTGTTCCTCCAGCAATTGATTGGGTGACAGATGTCTGAAGCAGTATACTGTGAATTTGTGATTTATAAATTTTTATATTCAACTTCTGCCAGCTATTTTGTGATGTAACTTGAAACATTTATGACTTGTGCAGATTATTGAAGAGTGGAAAGAAAAGAAGCCGTGGCTTCCAAAAGAACGAGTAGATGAGGTATGGTTTAACTTGATTTTAATGACTCTGAATCTATTAAAGCTGTTGTTTTACTTTCATAAAATTCATTGTTTTTTGGTTCCTAACTTGCAAGGTTATAATAAGTTCTGAAAAATTAAAGAATTGGGTGGATGAAAAAGAAGCTGAGCAAAAGAAGTAAGCTCTTCTCATATTACTTTAGTTTTTATTGAATCTGCAATTAGTTGTTTACCTTTTCCTTTCAATATTTGGTCGTGTCATGAGTGGATGCCTGTGTAAACATTGACATGTTCTTTTCTTTATTTAGAATATAATATTCCATGAAAAAATTCATCCATAATGTGGTAGGAACCAATCCTGATGAAAGGACATCAAACTAGAAATCGGATAATTGCCAGAGGAAGATATGAAGTTCCTTTGCTCGGAGCCAAACAACTACAGAGAAAAAAATCATCTGCCCAATACAAACCCAATGACCAAAACATATCCTCCAGTCTCCTCTCCATGCTCACAATAACCAAATTCACACATCACAAACCCTGTGTTTTTCTCTCTCTGCCACCTCATCATTCAGTCCTTGCCCCTTATTTCTGAGTATAGACACTCCAAATTGTGGGCTTGCATCTGCTGCATGGATGGACTTTGAGGGCCTAGGTTAGGTTTTATCATCATGTTATGAACCTAAGAAGTTATCTCTGATAATGGTTTCCTTTCATCTGCCACAGTTAGCTTGTATAGCACAAAATATGGCCAATGAATGACAATCGGCTTCATAATGAAATAGTCTGCGTTAAATTAAGGTTATTTGTGTCAATATAGAAGTTGCTTCTGCTTACAGGATATGTATGTAATGTACAGCGTATTGTACCATTCAGAATCGGTGGAATTCTTGAAAAATAAAATTCAGACCTATAAAATAGTCAAAGAACCTAGATTCCACTTGTTTTGAGCTTTTATGTTGTTCTCTGCAATGTCTCCTTGCCTGTTGTTTTATATTCATTTTCTAGATAAAATTATCCTTAGATTTTTCATTTGAGGGTGAGCCTCGCTCCCTTTACTCTCTCTCCATAAAGACTGTCAAAGATGACCAATGGATCATCTGAATCATATCTTTGGTGGCTTCAACATTTTAGATAATTTCACATTTTTTAGACCATATTATACTTTCTCACTTGTGCACTTCTAAATATGTAAGAAAATGAATTAGTCTAGCATTATAAAGTATTCACTTTTTCACTTTACTGACTCCCAACAATATGTTCATTGAGGAAATTGCAATGTGCTCATAACATTTTTAATGTAATTCGTTATTAATTTCCTATTTTGTACCTGTTTTGAAGGACTTCTGGATTCAGTAAGCCAGCGTTTACATCCGAAGAAGTATATCTGAAGGTGCTTGAACTACAAAACAAGGTACCTGTCTCTTGTACATGTCTAAGTCAAGGCAGTGTGTTGGCATGTAATTTACAGACCTACGATAGTAGTGTGGTTTCTTGTTAATGATCTTGTTTCCTGTACATTTACAGGTTGCCAGTATTAACAGAATTCCCAAGCCCAAACCTAAGGCTCAGAAGACTGTAAAGAATGATACAGAGAACAGTGAACCGAATATGGATGATTCCAATTCTACCACAACAGATAGTTCCTCTCCAAGTGATTCATCTGCTAACAATTCAGAAGGTCCAAACGAAGAAGAAACTGTTACTGAGCAATCCGAAGGTCATGATGAGCTATGATTAACTAGGAATATGCATGTAAGTCCAGTTTTAGTCATCTAGTTGCTAAGTTTTTACAGTCAGAGATGTAGAATTAATAGATGAAAAGGAAGCAGTGTTGGTTCTCGGCCAGCAGGATGGGTTGAGGCAATGTTTGCTGGTTGAGTGCTAAATTTTTTTGTTAGATGGGTCCTACCGGTGAAGGTGATTAATTTCCCTTTTATACTTAAGGGAACAACTTATATTTACAGCCATATGAAAGGTTGTATTCCGAAACACAAATGTGATAGGAGAATAGAAAGGAGAACTCACGATCATTGATTTGTGTTAGGAGATGGTTTAGAAATTTTGCTTGAGTAACTCATAATTCTAAGAACTTTCTTTCTTCCAAGCAGCACATACTTTTATCTTATTTTTAAATATGTTTACTGATATGTTGTGAGGTGTAGAAGATAGTGTAAAATATAATTAGGTGTATAATGTTATTTTTTCAAAAGATAGTTGGATTAGTTCAATGGTTTACTACACTAATATGAATTTTATTTTTTGAAAATAATTAACCTGTTAAAAAGTAAAGTAAATTAAGTTTATTATACATACATTTTTTAGATATATAATTTTTTTAAAATCTTTTGAAAAATTACTCTTTTGAGGACATATATTAGTTTATAATGCAAAAGTTTTCAGGTGCAGTTTTTCTCAGATTACAATTCTAATTGTTACTGAACGTACAAGCCTAGAGAAAAATAATGTGTTATAAAAATGAATCTCAATAAATTCTCTATTGATTTTAAAAGAGCTCTAAATTAAAACGAGAAAATAATGTTGTAAAACATTTGGTGTATTGGTGGTTTTATTTTTTAATTAAATAGAAGGTCAGCGAGGAATATTATTAGTATTAATAAGGTTTTGGGAACACATTCACCTAATAATATAAGCTCTACAATAATCATAAACAACATTAAATAAATAAAAAATCTAATATTACTTTTAGGGTTGAATCAATTTAGTCTTCCCAAAACATGTTTATAGTACCTAAGTGTTTACTGCCTTGAAGAAACTCCAGATATGGTTGACATGTACCATGCTAGCTACCAATTGACACGTGCAATATAATGAGACATTAGAATTGTTAAACATCCTTTGATCTTTTACAGTTAAATTTAGTTTTTTTTTTCTCTTAAATTTAAAATTTTCAAATTTACAAAAAAGAATAAACTCAAATCAAGATTAATGTTTAGTCTTTTGATTTATTATATTTCTTTTAATTTTTTAGTTTATAAATAGTATATCTTAATTCTCTTAAATCTTGCATTTGACATTATTTAAAATTTAATTGACATAATTAATAATGTATTTTTTAGTAAATATAAAATAGAAGTTATGATGGTTTTGAATAAGGTGTTAAAGTGATTAAACCAATAAGTTACAATAAGTTAAAAATAGGTATGCTTAATCGGATTTACTTTATAGTAGGTGAGAATTTTATAATCCACTTTTTGAATTCACAATTGATCATATTAATTTAGGGTTGAAATTTGTATTGATATTTAAGTTTTAAATACTTAAAATTAAAAATATTTTAATATAAAATACTAATATTATAACAAAGTCATAATATTTTTTAATAAATTTTGTGACAAATTTAAATTTAAATTCACTAAAATAAAATCAAATATTATTAACAAAGTTTAAATCTTAAAATAAAATTGAGACGAGTGTTTCCTCAAGAATCTCTAAACTTAATTAAAATTTTAAATAGTTAAAAGAAAAATTATGATTAAAAGATATATGGAATCCTTCAAGTTCTTACAAGGTTGAGATCCTCCCGTAAGACTAATCTCCACTAACACGCTCCGACTTCTACTCTATATGGACTGCTGATTTTGAGATGGTGGATGCGATCGAGCTCCTCAAATCGAGACGTAGGCGGTGTGCTTGTAGAAGACATTTTGACACTCAAGTAAGTAATTGGTAATGTTGATGGTATTATATTTTTCTTTACGTACCTTTGATTGAGACTTCATTTCCTTTTTATACTCGCACTTGGATCTTACTGATGGGCTTGTTGCTCCTAGGTCTCGCCTAGGTATTTCTAGTCGTCACTTTAGCATGGAAGCTTAATCATTCAACTACAATGGGGTGTCTGCCATAGTGGGCATGGTTGTCGATATTTTAGGGGTCGTATAAGCATAATACACGTGGCCACAACTGTGAGGCTATGGTAGGCCTGCTTGTTGGTGTCTTGGGGGCTAAATGAGCTCAATACATGTACGCATTATGTCTTGCTCACTGTGTAGGTACAGTCCACTAGCACCCGAGTTCGAGAGAGCTGATTGGCGATGGAGGAACTAATGATGGTTCTTCCGTAAATTAATCGATGAATACTCATTCTCCAACTTTGGCACGAGGATGACGGTGGGTGGATTGGGTTGGAGGTAAATGAGCCTTGACATGGTTTTCTATACTGCCATGATGGTTGAGTTCTCTTAATTTGACGTATCCCTTTCGTCGTAGCCATCAGATTATTGGTGTTTGAAGGGCTGTGGTGGATTGACACTTCAATTTTCGTGAGGGTCGCCTTATAAATGCATATTTGTCATTATGGAGGGGGCCACAAACTCTGCCTCTGCTATCCGAGAAGTTATTAACCATGGGGTCGTGGGTTCAAGCCCCACGGTGGATGCCAAAAATATTCTTACAAGGCTGAGATCCTCCCGTAAGACCAATCTCCACTCGCACGCTCTGATTTCTACTCTAGAAGGACTGTTGGTTTTGAGATGGTGGATGCGATCGAGCTCCTCAATCTGAGATGTGGGCAGTGTGCTTGTAAAAGATACTCTGACGCTTAATTCAGTAATCAGTAATGTTGATGGTATTATATTTTTCTTTATGTACCTTTGATTGAGACTTCATCTCCCTTTTATACTCGCGCTTGGGCCTTGCTGATGGGCTTGTTGCTCCTAGGTCTCACCTAGGTGTTTCTAGCCGTCACTCTAGTAAGGAAGCTTAATCGTTCAACTACAATAGGGTGTGTATGCCATAGTGGGTATGGTTGTCGAGATTTTGGGGGTCGTATAAGCACAATACACGTGGCCACAACTGTGAGGCTATGGTAGACATGCTTTTCGAGGTGTTGGGGCTAAATGAGCACAATACACGTGTGCGTTATATCTTGCTAACTGTGTAGGTACAATCCACTAGCCCTTGAGTTCGAGAGAGTCGATTGGCAATGGAGGAACTGATGATGGTTCTTCCGTACAGTAACTGGTGAGTACTCATTCTCCAGCTTTGGTGCGAGGATGACAATGGGTTGATTAGGCCGGAGGTAAATGGGTCTTGACACAATTTTCTATGTTACCATGATTGTTGAGTTCTCTTGATTTGACGTCTCCCTTTCGTCGTGGCCATCAGATTACTGGTGTTTGAAGGGTTGCGATGGATTAACACTTCGATTTTCATGAGGGTTGCCTTATAAATGCAAATTTTTAATTATGGAGGGGACCACAAACTTTGCCTCTGCTTCCGAGAAGTTATTAACCTTGTGGTCGTGGGTGGTTAAAAGTTTTTATGGATATTTTTAATTTTGATTTATATTCAAATTAATAGGTACAATTGTTATTAAATTTTAGTTATATTTATATTGTATTTAAAAGTTATCAATATGAATAAAATATGTGATCAATTTTCAACCATAAAACCCCAACGGTGATATAAGAGTTTTATTTGTTTTTAATAGACCTGGTGAGCTTGAAAGTTGCACCAAACACCCAAAAACTTGTAGTGAGATTTGAAAAATACGATATGATAACTCAATCTTTACACTACCTTTTTTAAGGTGAAAATTCTTACCCATGGGCTGTTAGAATGAAAGCTTTTCTTGATGCATGTGATCTTTGGGAGGCTATTTTGTAGATTATGAGGTTGATCAATTACTTGATAATCAAATAAAAAATCACAAAGAAAGGAAGAAAAAAAAAATCAAAAGTCAAAGTCATGCCTATTTTCTATAGTTTCTCCAACAATATTTACCAAAATTGTGAATCTATAGTCAGTAAAGACCATATGAGATATTCTCAAACAAGAATAGGAGGGAAATGAGAGAATTAAAGGGATGAAAAATGCTAAATTTGATTAGGGAGTCTGAGATGCAATGAATAAAGACGTCAAAAAAAGTGAAAGGGAATTTTAAATTGAAGGCTTCACTGCACCATTTGTGTGTTTTATTTCAATGAAAGTTTTTCATACTTGTTTAATCACAAACAAAATCATAGAAAGCCCATGGAAAAAGTTTTTTTTTTTTTTACATTTTATTAGGTTAAGAATTAGCTTAATATGTTAAAATGGTTTGAGACAACATTTCAAGGGATTAAAAACTTGTTTTAATCGATTAAAAATACTTGAAGTCAAAGCAAGCATGTGAGAAACAATTTTAATTTGTTAAAATAAAATTTTAATAAATTAAAATCTTCTTGATAGGTTTTGCACTTTTGTACTTCATATTTTTAATATGTTAAAAGAGATTTTAATAGACTAAAATGTCAGTGGCCACAAAAGAGTGATTTTGGGTTTTGGGCCTCACTGCTTTAATATGTTAAAATAAGTTTTAATAGATTAAAATGTTCTAGGCATTGAGAAGTAATTTTTGATTAGGTTGTTTTAATCAATTAATCATGATTTTAATTTGTTAAACATATCAGTACTGGTGAAGAAGATTTTTGGGTGTTTTTTTAGTACTTTAAAATATCTTCATGCTTTTTAAAGAACAATTTGGGTGCTTTATTTTAATTGATTAGAAATACAATTTAATCGATTATTTCACACTTAAGTGAAATGAACAAATTAAATTAAAAAGTTTTGATCAGTTAAAATTGTCAGGGAGAGAGATTGCTTTTTACACAATATCTTTGAGGCTAGCTTTATTCTATTTGGGTGATCAAGCTTATACAGAAAGTTGTAATTCTACTTTCACTTGAGCTCTTTTTGTACCTATGTTATTATTGTTTTCCAAGTGAATTTTTTTTTGTAAAACTGTAATTCAATGTGTTCTACAAGTGTCCTAGATTGGGGTTTCTAAGAACTATTTTGGTGATTAGTTTGTCACTGAAATTGGGAAGAGTTGTTTTTGAAGGGATCAAGAAAACTCATGACGTAGATAGTGTTTTTTACTTTGTAAACTGATTTGTGTTTTAGTGAAACTCTTAATTGAATTTAGTTAAAGATTGGATATAACTTTGGGTATCGATTGAACCAATATAAATCTTAGTGTTCTTTTCCTTCTCTTATCTATCATGTTCTTGCTTTTCTTGCTTGTTGCATTCTCAAAGTGTTTTCTACTTTGTAAACTGGTTTATGTTTTAGTGAAACTATTAACTAGATTTTGCTAAAGATTTGATATAACTTTGGGTATAAAGTGAACCAGTATAAATCTTGGTGTTCTTTTTCTTCTCTTATCTCTCGTGTTCTATTATTTGTTTATTTGTATGTTCTTGCTTTTCTTGCTTGTTGCATTCTCAAGTTTTGGTTAATTATTTGGATAAAATTTTCATTCTTAGCTTAAAGTCAGTAATTCTTGTAAAAATCATTGAAGTTCAATTCACCACCCTCTTGAAACTCAACCACTTTTTCTAACAATTGGTATTAGTATTGTTCCTATAAATTAGTGAAGAAATTGATCTTGTTTTAGAAATGGTTGAAAATAAACTTTCGTTTGCTGAAGGGGCCTCAATTAATAATAAACCTCCAATTTTTTACGAGGTAAACTATAAATTTTGAAAAGTGAGAATGAAATCTTTACTGAATCAATTTATAAAGGCATTTGGGTTGCTTTATCAATGGTCCATTTATTCTATTATAAATACATTATCTTATGTGTATATTTTACATAAGGAAATTAATCCTATACCAAGTTTTTAACCTTTCACAAATCTCTAAAAGAGATGAAGATGAAGACACTAATACTGATGATGGAGACGACGAGGCTAGTCCAAACAATACTGTAGTTGATTAAAAGGTAATAACACATATTTGTTACGCACATTTTAGCATTGTTGTACACTGAATGCACTTTCCATATCCTTTATTTTCATTTTTAAACTCATTTTCATCCAATAGTAATAAATTGGTTTTAGTGTACATATTTGCTTTAATTTTGTATTTTCAGTTAAGCTGACCTTTGTTTACTGTTTTGGACAAAATTTTTTCTATAAATATTATTCCTGCCTCATTAAAATTATATTGGACTCTACATTTCTAATGCTTTCAAATGGATATATGTTTTGCTGAATTTAGAATTTTGTATATTTCTACTATTTTTACAAGTTGAGAAATATTTTATTTGTATTAGCTTAACTTTTCTAATTGGCCTTATGGACCAAATTAGAACCCACATATAGGCTCATGTTTACTTCAAACTTTAAATATCCTAAATGTGATCTAAACTCATATCTAGAAATAATTTTTTTAGTTTTTAGTTTAGTAAGTGTCTTTACATCTTCACTTTCTCTCATTTTCTTTTTCACTCTTCTTTTTCTTCCCCTTTTGTTTCTTATCCAAATTGTTCTTGAGTTCTTAATCCATGGATAACTAAATTTTGAGGGTCAATTCAAAAAATCAAGATCAAACAAGTCAAATTGAGTTTGCACTGATTGTTTCTTGTCCCGAATTTGTTCTTCCCTTCTCTAATTTCGGTTTTACACTTTGTAATATCAAATTATGATTATGATTTTAGAAATCAAATTTGGAATCAATTAAATCTTGATATAATAATTAAATATGGATTTCATTGACTGATATTGAGATTTAATTTGTATAATTGGTTTAGTTGATTAATTGAATTAATTAATTGTACAAACTTGGAAGCAATTCCCATGATGTTGGACCTAATCTTGTATGTACCATTAGTTGATCGAGGAACACCATTATCTTAGTTTGAAAGGACAATGATATCCTGCATGGACTCACTTCAAGCATGTTAGAGGAGACAAATTCAAATGGTCTATGCTTTCCAAGTGAGTCATAAGAACCTTTATGAAGAATTCATATCTAGATTCCAACACATTGATAATCAACTTGAAGATATCCACAACCAACTTGGTTATCTTAAAGGCTTGGGATGATTATTTTTTTTCTTTCTTTCTCTATTTTTTTTTCATATCATTTTTATTATATGTAAATCATAATCCTACTAGTCTTGTACCAAATTTAACTGTCATGGTAGTATGATTTTCATTCTCCTTTTTTTTTATGAAGTCAAAGGAGAGAAGATTAAATTGTTGCATAATATAATGTGGTACCACACTGCACAACACATTACACCTTTCTTTGTTATTTTGCAAATTAGCATATTGAGTGATATAGGAAATGAGGATTTTAGGTATAGAGCGAATTAGTATAAATCTTGGTGTTTTTTCCCTTCTCTCATCTCTCGTGTGTTGTTGATTTATTTCTTTATATGTTCTTGCCTTTTTTGCTTGTTGCATTATCAAGTCTTGGTTAATTTTTTGGATAAAATTTTCATTCTCAGCTTAAAGTTAGTAATTCTTGTAAAAATCATTGAATTTGAATTCACCTCTCTCTTAAACTCAACCACTTTTCCGAACAAGCAAGACATGATAGAATGTGCTTTATAGGCCAAAGTGAAAACTTGGTTAAAAAGGAGAGAAAAATAAGGCTCAAGTAAGACACTTTGTAACAAGATAAAGTTCTAAAGAAGTAACTAAGGAGTCAAATTATCCTCATTGTTAACACTGTGAAAAGAGGAATAATCCATATTTTAGACGTTGGAAGCGACCTGATGCAAATTACAAAAGTTGCAACCAATTTGTTAAGACTGCAAGATTTTGCAATAACAAAATATAGTCTTAAATTGAGGGTCAAGTGACTAATTAACAAGAAGAGGATAAGGAGAAACTATTTGTAGCAACTTGTTTCACCACCACCAACAAAAACAAAAGTTGTTTTACTAATATTGAATGCACACATCATATGACCTTGGATAAATGGTTGTTCAAGGAGCTAGATAAAACAATTATTTAAAAATTCAAACTCGGAAATGAAGAGTGCATAACTATGAAAGGGAGAGACAATTTTGCAATTAAAAGTTGCTTAGGTGCAAAAAATAATCCCTAATGTATTTTATGTACCAAAATCAATCAAAGTGTGTTGAATGTTGGTCATATGCTAGAAAAAGGATAAAAAGTCTTGTTTAAAGACAAAATGTGTTTCATTAAAGACACAAGTGGGC